GTACCTGTCTGTCCTCAGATGGCAGATGATTGAGCGGCAATCGGCTTATTCTGGTTTATGACCCGAGTTTAAACGCCGTGCAGTCAATACTAGAGACGATTCAGTTCGGAGTTATAGGGTTTTCGACTAGTCTGACTAAGTTGCACAACTGGTTTGTCTAGTTTTCGTACATAAGTCGACGAGTGTTAAGGCTAAGAAGGTTTAACCCTAACAACTCCGATCTTCCAGGCCAGTTTCCTTAGGAGATGAGAGAGAAGTCACGGGAAGGCCAGAGTAGAAGGCAGAATATATTCTTTACAGAATGAATTGGAGAAGAGGCAGTAGGAACATGACTATCAGACGCCCGTACGACCGCAAGCCAGTGGACGGCGTCGGAAGTGAAGTCTGCCCGGCAGTCGTCAAATAAGGTCCTGCGTGAGTCGATCTGCGATTGGCTGTTACAAAGACCGGCAACAGCGAGCCTCCCGAAAGTGTAGTTCGACTTGAGGTAGTCACAAAAGACGTTCACAAGTGCACTTCGTGTTGAGCTAGTCACTTTACATCTTCCTCTCATTCCTGGGGCTAGTGTGTTTGCGGGCTTGCTAAATGACTTGCGGTGATCAATTTTTCTGTTCCTATTTTGGTCGGTACTTGGTCTAGTTAAGGAAGGGGGAGAAGTCTGTTGCCTTCCGTTTAATATGCCTTAACCGGTGTCTCCTGTGTTTTGCAGTACATGCACAGTGTGGGCATTATCCACCGCGACCTCAAGCCCTCAAACATCGCTGTAAATGAGGATTGTGAACTGAAGATCATCGACTTTGGTTTGGCTCGGCAGCAGCAATGTGATATGACTGGCTACGTGGCAACCCGGTGGTACCGCGCGCCTGAAGTCATACTCAGTTGGATGCACTACAACGATGCAGGTGGGCAAACCTTTGCAGCCAGTTAACATTTTGTTCCTATGCTGAAACCTCATCGGGTAAGAATATGGAGGCGACCAGGAAGGGAGACCTGTTGTTTTGCTGATGATTAGCATATTGTTGTGTTGCCATTCTGTATAATGATGAATGCGAATTGGTTTAGGTGCCCTCCTCTTCCCTCCCTCCCTCGCCCTTCCTTTACGTTTGTCTCAACACAACTAGTTCGACTGCTTTGCCTCACAAACATACTCCGTTGTGGAAACGCTTAATGAGGGTCGGAAAGGGGGAGTGAGGCCTACCCCCTGGGGACTCAACCCCACAGAAAATCAGCATATTCCGATAAAGCAAGGGGCCCGTGGTGCCGTGGTAGAGTATTCAACTCAATGACCAAAGGTCTCGCGTTCAACTCTCAGGGGGTTCCAATCCTTGAGATTGGGTATGACTGGCTGATGACGGTTAACAAGCCAGAGATGGCCATTTCGGTCTCCGTTTGCTTTGTCGGATCCATTTCAGCAACCTCTTGTATTTGAATCTATTACGACACGTTAACAGATGTTGCTGGGAAGACTGGTTACTGGCCGGATAAATCGGCGCTTACGGTGACTGGAGGAATGAGAATCGGAAGACAGTGGAAGTTTGCTCAGTTGTCTTTAATGTCATTCACCTCTCTGTATGCGTCTTCGACGCCTCTTAAGGGTCTTCTGGCAGGATCGAATTTCTAATGTCGAGCTATATCGCAGGTGTTTCAAACTACCAAGTCTAGCAGCATAAATCCAGCATCGCCGATTGCATTGGTTTGGCCATGTCCTGCCTCAACCGTCGACGGACACCTGCAGATTGGGCGTGAATTCCTCACGTAGTGCAAACTGGAGATACTGACATCGCGGTCAACTGAAAACGTGGCTCAACACTGCCAATTCAAACGTCGAACACATGGGCTTTGTAACCGTTAACAGCCTGCGACATTGGAACAAATACTGGGTTAAAATTTGCGAGGAGCTCGCTTCCGAACGCCGCTCCTGGGCCGCCGCTATCCGTGACATCTGCGAAGCCGATTCATCCAACAACAGGAGCTAATCGGATCACGTACAAGTGCAATCCGAGTTACCTTTCTTACTCTCTCTCCCTCTCTCTCTCTCTTTGTCACTCTCATTCACCCCTCTGCATGCGCGATCCGAGTAACCTTTCTGTTTTAGCATCTTACGTCCAGTGTTGGCCAGGTCGTACGTGGTAGGCATAGGTGAACTGACTAAATATGTCAGCTAC